CTCAGCATAACACCCTCAAGGTCCATCCATGTTGCTACACATGGCCAGATTTCATTGTTTCTCATTGCCATGTAGTATTCCATGGTATAGATAAACCACATCTTCTTGATCCATTCATCTGTTGATGGACACTTAGGCTCTTTCCATGTTTTAGCTATTGTGGAGAGTGCTGCTATGAACAAGATTCTTGCCTTTAAATTCCAGTATCTATGTCATCTTGGAGTTACTTACCATTGATTTCCTTTTATCTTGAGTATGGGTTACATTTTCCTGCTTCTTCATATGACTTAAGAATTTTGGATTGTACCCTGGACATTATGAATGATATGCTACAGAATTTCTGGATTCTGTTATGTTCCTCTGTAGAGTATAGGAGGGTTTTTTTCTTTGTTTATTTTACTTTTTAAAGCATGCAGTTAACTACATAAGTTCAAACTTGAATTTTGTGAGCAGCACTGAGGGCAACCAAATGTCCCAGCATGCCCAGGATTGAGGGTTTTTCCAAAACTGAGAACTTTCACAGTCTCAGAGAAATTGGTACAAGTTGGTCTTGGAGAGGCATAAGTCTCTGTTCAATATTTTAGCCTCAGATGGGTTGCTCAGAGCATGACCCATATATGTGTGGTTCAAGAGTCAGCTAGAGATCTGGGTTAGCCAGAGAATTTACAGATAAAAAAGCCCTCTCTGCCTTTTTTATACCAGGATTTCCCTCCTTACTTCCAAGCTGCTGTGGCTTTATGACTTTTTAAGTCAGTATAACTATAGATTATCTACCCACGTTTTGGTCACCCTCAAGCTAAAATTGGTGCCTACCCTTGAGTTAAAACAAAGAACCATAAAATCAGGTTGGTTTTGTCATTTTCCAATGCCTTCAGGTAATAGACTTTTTTTCATATTTTGATCAGAATCTATCATTGTTATCTGTCGGAAGCCTGGTTCAATAGGAAGTATTCCCCCATTGCTAGAAAATCTTCTTTGTTCCTTACTTTAATAATGATCATATACACAAAACTGTCCAGGATAGCACTCATTTCAAATATTCTATGCTATTATCTAGTCATATTTCAATTTTTGTTTTGAAAAATATAGTTACTCTACTTACATTCTATTCTAATTTTACAATTTTGACATATTATCCATTAGATGATAGTGCCAAAGCATAAAGGCAGGGAAAATATATATTTTAGAAATAAGCAAAGGAACAGCCTAGTATGCGGTGTCAAAACTCAAGATGAGGCTGCATGAAGAGTATGAATATATGGTGTGGGAAGTCTGAATGAAGTAAGGAGGGATTCTACATGGCAGACAACATGGAAATCAGACCGTGAGTAGGGTAAAGAGGGCATTCAGGCAGAAGAATTCCCTGGCGTGGAGTGCTGGAGTCCAAGAGAGATAAAAAGGATATCCAAGATAAGGGACAGCCTAGCATGAGTCAGAGCCTGAGCATAGTGAATAGGACATTTATGCATAGAGGTGGTCTGGTGTGGGTTTTCAGAGCCTAAGTGGAGTGAGCAAGGTTCCCACATGGGAACAGTGGGGAGATCTTCTATGCACAGGAGTGCTCTAGTGCAAAGTTCAGAACTTGAGTGGGGTGAAGAGGGGATCCACTTATTAGGGACAGTCTTACATGGAGGTATCAGAGCCTGAGCAGTTGAGAAGAGTGCCCAATAGTACAATGGCTATGGTACAGGATGTAAGAACTCAAACGAGGCAAGGAAAGCATCTGTGCTGAGGAAGGGATGGTAGTGGCAATGGATGATTGGTTATATAAAGGAGGATTGATCAAATAAGTGACTATAATAAAGTAATAAGAGCCAGGTTTTTCTCTGTCAGAAAAGAGAGTTACAAATATGGAAACCTGTGGTACTGTATTGGAAATGAAGGTACTGGTGTGAATGCATGGCTTCTACTCTATATAAATAAATATAAAATATAGATGTAGATGGGTATGTATGGATTTACATACATAAAAGCCCTAGCCCTGTCCACTGAGAGCACCTGGGAGCAGTGACACAACAGCAACTTCTAGCATCCAGATATTAACTTCTAAATTTTTTTTTGAGAGAGAGAGAGTGCGTGCAAGCATGAGTGGGGAGGGCAGAGAGAGGGAGAGAGAGAATCCTAAACAGGCTCCACACTGTCAGTGTGCAGAGCCTGATGAGGGGCTTAATCTCACAAACCATGAGATCATGACTTGAGCCCAAACCAAGAGTTGGATGCTCAACTGACTGAACCACCCAGGCGACCCCAGTTATTAATTTCTAAATATCATTCTCCATTTAAAGGGATGAGGTTCCTCAAAGAAATGGCTGGTTCTAGGGTTTGGGCTGGGAAAAATACAAGATGAGTCTGGAACATTTTGTTGTGTCACAATGCACATAAGTGCTTACAGAATGAAGAAGATATATTAAAGGATATAGAAGTTATCTTGAAGGGGTTTCCCCTGGCCAAATCTGAGACAGGGAAGTATCAAAATAAAAATGATGGTATTGGATTATAACTCTTCGAAAAAAAATTCATGAGTCCATATTGACATTAATAAGTAAATAAAATGAAAGTCAGATGATGAATGGAGTATTTATACAGCTTCAAAGTGTTTCTCCCAAATACTTATTATTACTAAGATGAAAAGAACAACTACATAGTAAACAGCTTGGTAGACACTACAGTAATTGAACAAAGTGACCATCATCAGTAATGCAACAAATGAAAATTATCTGATAATAAAAAGAACACAGCATCACTTCTGGGATATTGTTGCCAAATACATGTAACATGAATC